CAATATTAATGACCATCATCATCATCATTATCATCATCATTGATGTATTGTTCTTCTCATCTTTCCTGATGAGGCTCAGATCAAGATTCTCCTGAAACAAGTTGCTGTGCTACTATGATTCCTTTTTACTCCATGTTATATAGACTATTATATAAGTAGTTAAAATTACTGGATTTCACAGCTGGATGAAGATTCCTCAAAATGAAAGAGCTAATCTTTTTCGCAGTGTAGCCCTATAGCTTTATGTCAGCTCAGTAAGCTTACCCTCTGGAGCATTCTCAGTAAAACTCTAGAAGCAGACAGGACAGCAGGGATAATAAGGCAGCTGGATGACAATGGGTAGAGGGCTGGCCCTGTAGTCGGGAAGAACTGGGGTCGAATCCAGTCTCAGACACTTACTAGCTGTGTGACTCTGGGAAGTCACTTAACCTCTCTCTGTCTCAGTTTCCTCAATTGTAAAATGGGGATCAAAATAGTACCTATCTCACAGAGGTACTGAGAGGATCAAGTGAATACCTGTGAAGTGCCTGGAGTGGTGCTTGGGATATAGTAGGAGCTTAATAAATATTTTTTCTCTCCCTCTCTCCTGAAACAAATTACCCCTTCCTGGCCACTGCTCTATATCTGTTGTCTATTCAAATTATGTCATAGACTCCTTATGTGCAGGTACTGTCTTCTTCTTAAATTTTGAATCCCAGTTTTTAGTACTTCACGTGCAGTAAGCACTTCATAAATGTGTTTTCATTCATTTATTCATTCATAAAGTTGCACCTTGGGACTTTCTGGTATATCCTTTTTTCTTTTCAACCAAGGGATTATTTTCTTATGTTTAGAGGTGGTTTTTTTGGATGGTACAAGCTGTGATTGTTTTGTGTAAAGTATATAAACATGTAATTGTTGCATGTTTGAAGGTAACACTAATCTCTCATCTTTTTAGAATAGACATGTTATCTTCTGTTAAGAAAGGTGGGATTAGGAGTATTTTTGAGAGGGAGCTAATAAAGTGTTTTAATAGTAATTAGTGCTCCAATGTAAACTATTTGAGGCAATCATTTTGTCTCTTATCCAGATCTGCTACTGTGCAGCTTTGCAGAGAAGCTAGTTTGTCACCTTCCCTGACATAACTGTTCCTTCATGCATTATAATAATGCTGTATAACCTTTCTCTTTCTTTATTCCACTTGTGTTTTTTTTGTACTTGACTTCTTATAACCATATAGATGACAAGAGCTTGTCCTCACTCTTCCTCATTGCCACTGATTTCTTTACTGCTTGTCTCTATAATAAACTTTTGATTTATAATGAATTGTTTTGTTCTTTGTGCTGTTTTGAGTCCTAGAATAATTTTTAACATTTTGACTTTTACTTTCAGTTATTGATTAAGGGAATCTAGAATTTCTAGGATAACTCTGTTTTCCTGATCCCTTTTTATACATTTATTTTTTCCTTGCTTTTAATTGGGTGACAGTGTTTTCATGTTTTCTGTTTCACATACCAATTATTTATATAATGTTCCAATGACTCTCTAAAGGTTTTCCATAGTTCTCTCAAGCTGTTTCTGCCATGATGATATGTGACACCTAGAAGGTGTCCTGGAGCATTCTTAGATAGGTTCATCTTTCATCTTACCTTGGTCATTGCTACTGCATATACTGGCTATATGCACATCCCAAAACATTTTTCTATTATGGAATAATATGTTCATTCAAGATCATCAGAATATGTACTAGCTTTTAAAAGTTACTGTAAAAGCATATGTATATTCTGCTTGTTGTATTCAGGCTGTCAAACTTTCTAGCATTCTAGTCTAGTATACCCATCTCCTTTATAATCATTAGATGCACTGTTGGTGGAGTTGTGAACTGATCCAACCATTTTGGAGAGCGATTTGGAACTATGCCCAAAGGGCTATAAAAATGTGCATACCTTTTGTCCCAGCAATAGCACTTCTAGGTCTGTATCCCAAAGAGATCATAAAAATTGGGAAAGGACCCACATGTACAAAAATATTTATAGCAGCTCTTTCTGTGGTGGCAAAGAATTGGAAATTGAGGGGATACCCATCAATTGGGGAATGGCTGAACAAGTTGTGGTATATGAATGTAATGGAATACTATTGTGCTGTAAGAACTGATGATGAGCAAGTGGACTTCAAAAACACCTGGAAAGACTCATCTGGACTGATGCTGAATGAAGTGAGCAGAACCAGGAAAATGTTGTATACAGGAATAGCCATGTTGTGCTATGACTAACTTTGTCGGATTTAGCCCTTCTCAGCAATGCAAAGATCTAAGACATCTCCAAAAGTCTCATGATGGAAAATGCTATCCACATCCAGAGAAAGAACTATGGAGTTTGAATGCAGATTGAAGCATGCTAGTTGCTCTTTCCCCCTGTTTCATTTTGTTTCCTTTTTCTTGTGGTTCCTCCTATTGGTTCTAATTCTTCTTTACAACATGACTAATGTGAAAATATGTTTAATAGAAATGTATATGTAGAGCCTGTATCAGATTGCACACCATCTTGGGGAGGGAGGGAGAAAGGGAGGAGGAGAAAATTTAAAACTCAAAAGCTTATGGAAGTGATTGTTGAAAACTAAAAATTAGTTAATTAATTTTAAAAAGTCGTAAGAGATTTGCCTGCTTTTTTTCTCTCCTTTTTCATTACTAGGTCTAATTCCTAGAGTTTTCATTAAGTAAATACTTTTAATGGCCTGAAGATCTTCAACTTTTCCCTCTTCAGGTTTTAGTAGTTTCTCAATTTTATTTAATTTTAAATCTAATCTAAGCTTAGATGTTTGGTTATTTGTTTTAATGATTACTCTGTTCTGCTCAGTAGCACACTACTGTGTGAATTTGAGCTGAGGTACCATTGATAAAAAAACAATATTAAGCCCTTGTCTGTAGCTAGTGTGATGTTTCTGATTTTCTTCTGAGATTGTACTGGCAAGGAAGGAAGGAAGAGAGGGAAGGAAGCAGGGAAAGAAGAAAGGAAGAGAAAGGAGGAAGGAAGGAGGAAAGGTAAGATAGAAGGGAGGAAGGGAAGAAGGAAGGAAGGAAAAATAAGAAAGGGTACTTATGATATGCTTGTTTTGAGCAATGCACTGGGGAAACAAACAGAAAAATGCCTTCCCTCAAGGAGCTCACATTTTAAAGGGGAGACAATATAGGAGGGAATCAGTGGTAGGGTAGATGGTAAGGTCTAGTGGTCTGAATGACAGGTAATTCAGATTGGTTTGAATGTAGAAGAGATATAACAGTGATGTGCAAAAACGTCTTTTTTTTAGAATAATAAAATAATAATAAGATTTTAAGTATATAATAATAATATATCACATTAATATAGCACTTCAAGGTTAATAAAGCATTTTACGTATATTATCTCATTGTATCTTCACAATAACCCTGTGAAGTAGGTAGTGCTATTTGCCCATTTTACATATTAAGAAAGTGATACTGAGAGATGCTAAGCAACTTGCCTAGGGTCTCACAACCAGTAAATAACTGAGGCAAGATTCAAATGTAGGTCTTCCTAACTACAAATCCAGTGTGGGGTCATTTTAATTGACAAAACCGTATCTATTTCTGATGCTGAACCATCTGACAGTGCCAAGAAATTGGGTGAATTTTTTTTTTTTGGATTTCAATAACATGGCAGCTAATAAGGGAGGGACAGAATGGAAGAAGCAATTGCCAAGCTCAGGCTGCACTGGAGTTACTCCCCTAGACAGTGGTGGACATTATGCTGGAGGCCAGTGGCCTGGGCCCTAGGGGGCACTGTTTATTTTCAGGGCTTTGGGATACAGAGTCCTGGTTTGCCTCCGTTGGTGTCTAAGAGAAGCCAGTACTCAGAAGCTTTGCATTAAGCACCCTATGATAGAGTTTTATCTTGTTTTTCAATGCTATCTAGTTCTCTTTTCTTCTGTTTCTAGTAGGTACTTGAATGAATGAATCAATCAATTAATAAGCATTTATTATTTACTATATACTAAGCAGTATATTAGGCATCAAGAATGCAGAGACAAAAATGAACTAATCCTTTACCTCAAGGAGCATACCTTCTATCTGAGGAGACAATGCAAACTCATATAGACGTACACAAAATCTATGCAAAATAAGTTAAAGGTAATTTTGTTAGGGAGGCATGAGCAGCTAACAAGAGACCAGAATGAGGTTGGAGCTTAGTATAGAAGCTAAATGATAACTCTTCCCACTTCTCTTGAAGAAAATTCCCTAACTTAACTGAGAAGTCTACAAAATCCTCCTTTTCTCCCACTCCCTCAAAATTTGCAGGGAGAGGTATCTAAAACCATGGTGTACTAACCTATGAGGGCCCATAGTCTCTTTTGGTCTCTTTCCTTGCTTCTAGATAGATTCTGAGAGAATAACAGGTAGATGACATGGGAGAGGTGGAGTAGCATTAACAGTTAATGCTGTCCTTGGGGCAAAAGAATATAATATTGCATATTTTCAATCATGTGGCCTAAGAAGGAATTATTGATTATTCATAGGCTATTGTGACTTCTTTATGAATTTCCCACATTTTCCATGGGGCAGATAAATGCATTTATTACCTTGAGTGCTTATTTAGGAATCTGTGGAGACCCTTTATCTACATATGTGGAGATCTAGGCACAAGACATATTCAGATATTTCCTAGAATAAACTATAAGTCAAAAAGAAACTAGTATTTTTAGGGTACCCCTCGGGATTGGACCAGCTCTGTATAAGCCCAGCAACAGGGGTGCTAGGTATATGAGTTACAGTTGTAAATGCCTTCAGCTCAGAAAAAAAAACCAGACAACTTTTTGCAAAATTCTCAAGAAAAGTATTTTATCCAAAAATATTTTTTCCGTTAAGACATTATGGCCTATAACTATGCTTACTAGACGTGTTATAAAAAAGAAGCTATATGAACAAAAATAAGGATGTTAATAAAATAATAATAAATCTCTAACTAATGATAAATAATAATAAATCTCTAACTTTTTCTCTGTGTCAGGTTATGCAGATGTATCTCCCATTTTGCGGGATTGCCATAGCTAATGCTCAACTATTTGCTGCCTCAAGAAAGGAATATGACAGAAGCAGGGTAAGTAAAAAACAAGCCTAATATCTCTTTTGCTTTCACATTCTTATGAGTAATTTCATTTTTTAAAAATAGCAGATGATCTTTGGATGGGCCAAGAATATTTTATTTCAAAATAATTTATGTATAATCCTTCAAGTATGTGGCTGATGAAACCCTTTAGGCTTAAATAGAGATGGATACAAATAAGTGGCTTTGATGCTGCTTCGTGATGGTGCCAGTTTCATGGTTTCATTTCATAACGAAAATTAATTTGAAATCCATGTTGTAAAACAGAAGTTATATCCTTGCAGGCTTTGGATTTATAATGGTAATAAAACTTGAAAATTTCATAGTTCCTTCAAAGAACTCTGGGCTCTTGACCAATATGATCTAACTAGACCTCAAAGAATTTTCTTTTTATTGGACTATTTTTTTCTTTGCTGGGGCAATACTGTTTAATTTCACAAAATGTATGACATATGCTTGGTAAAATGTACCTACATTTTAAAGATTTACAAGTGGATACATTGGGGCAAAAAAGTTAAACAATTTGGTTTTAGACCATTCTGGAAGTCATTAGTTGTGCCATCAAAGAGAGATTGGATGAACTTTGGAACTAATTAATTTAGAGTCAGAATGTTGGATTCCAAGCCCTGCTCTGTCTTTCATTATGTGAACCTGGGCAAATCACTTCTCAATTTATTGGGTCTCGATTTATTCATTTGTTAAAAACAAAAGAAAGAGAGTTGGACAAGATGTTTTCTAAAGTCCCTTCTAGCTCTAAATCTAGGATGCTATGAATTGTTTTAACCAAATGGATTAATCAGGTCTGTCAAACAGTTTATCATTTTTGTCTAAGAACCAGTTGGTAGATATTTTCATTGAATTAATTATCTATTTGACAGAATTGAAAGGACTGATTGATTATTTTATCATGTGTGGAGACATATTTTTATAGGAACACAGGCTTTCCATGTCCTCCTTCCATTCTGTGGTTACTCCAAATTGTTGATTTGAATTTTGTTTATCGCTTCTTAGTTGTTACAATTTGTACTTTGCAATAATGAAATGGCCATAATGAGATTTTCCACGGCAAAATCTAAGCCGGGTCCAGTTTTTCTCTAGAACAAGCTTCTTACGGGTCTCAAAGGCTATCTCTTCACAGTTGCAACAATGTGGGAAGTTGAATGGTTGTTGAATAAAATACGTTAATGCAAGAAGACAATCTGGATTATTAAAGAAAAAAATGATTTTCCAAAATAACAGGAATTTTAAAAATGTTGGTTATCTGGCTATTTATTTCAATTATCCATTTTACTTTGTTTGCATAGACATAACCACAGGGACAAGAGTTTTTGCTATTACTTTAGCACTTTGAGAAACAGTGGTGACTTCTTCCATAGTATTACATGATAATAACGATAAATAGAACTCACCTTTTATGGAGCTCTTTACAGTTTACAAATCAGTACTTCATAACAACCCTGTAACATAGATAGAACAAATATTACTGTTTCCATTTGATAAGGAAACCAAGGCTCATAGATCAAATGACTTGCCTAAAGTCACTCACCTAATATATATTAGTATATTTTAGGTTCTTTGATTCCAAGTGCGAGTATTTTTTCACTACACCATTTTTCATGAATTGCTGTGTTAAAAAATGATGTTGACAAACCTTCTGCACATGAGTCTCTATGAAGGTAGCCAGGCAAGTTCTGGGTGGCAGACCTACAGGCTATCACAGGGACTTTATTTAAAATACTTATAGCTGGGGAAAACTTGTGAGAGCTAAAGCTGTACCAACATAGTCTTTGAGAACCTAGGGCATCAGAGTAGAGCTTTGAATGATAATCCTTCTGTTACATTTGAATATGCTATCCATCATTGAATATTTCATGTATATACATATATATATATATACATACACACACACACACACACACACACACACACATATATACACACATAACATCAATGGACTTTATTTCAGTGAGATTCAAATTTGAAAACTACACAGATGGGCAACATTTAACATGTCTTACAATTCATAGATAAGTGATGAACTTCAGTTTGGAATGTTAGGATGTTAAATGCCTTGGAACAGAGCTGTTTCTTCAGTTTGGCAATGCAGAATTCCATGTAGCTATCAACTTATTCTTCTAATGGCTCTGTGTGGGAAATGTTACCCAGGGTTTTTGGTTCTTGTTTAATTATTCCTTCAACTGGATTGGAGTCTTGAATGCATTGGCCCATCTCATTAAAACTCTTTCCAATCTAAATGGGCTTAGAGAAGTTTCCAAATGTCTAACATTGCAAAACAACTCATGCATTCTTTCAAAACAGCTCATTCATTTTTAATTGGAAATATACTTTTGTTGCTTGACCAATGGTGGAGTTAAGAATTTTTGAATGTTAATGAAAAAATGCTGTGATACACAACAGCATATATTTGTTTAGAGTTCATCTGACTTGGAAAACTCATTGAACACTTTTGTTAGAAGTCAAGATCAGGGCTGAACATCATATCAAAACATAAAGAAACAAACCTTATTTTGCCAAACTCTTAAATATTATCACTGATGGCACATATTTGTTATTTTAATCTAATTTTTAAAAATCTGATATCCATGAGTGAATATATGGGATAAAATTCTATGATCAGATCTCTGAACAATATTAATTTGTATTGCAATCTATCATTAAAAGCTCCAGCTGGGTTATTATTTTAATGTAAAGGAATCAAGAAAATCCTACTGGATAAAAGCTTACAGTATAATCTTTAGTTTTAAGTTTTGAAATATGAGCTTCCTTGGTAATAAATATACAGTGCATTTTACTGTTTTCACCGCTCTCTTTCTCTTCTTTGGATCCCTTCCTTAAATTAAACACCATCATTGACTGGACATTCTGGTGAACAGAGTGATATGGAATGATACATGTTCTTTTTCTTGATTAGAATATAATTTACATTTAATTCAACATGCATATGTATATATATATATATATGTATATATGTACACATATACAAATATGGTTGTGTGTATGTGCATACACACACAGTTCCTAATATATGAAAGGTACTGTTTTTAGGTGCTAAGGTTATACAAATATGAAAAATGATTAAGTCTCCTGCAATCAAGTATCTTATAATCTAGTAAGGATAATAAATTATGTTACCAGATTACCACAATACAGGGGGAAATGTGATAAGTATATAGAGGAAGCCAAATCATTAACTATGATAAGCATAAAGTTTGATATCCTATCTTTGTACAAGCTGTCTCCCCATACCTGGAATGCACACTCTTTTTATTTTTGTCTCTTAGAATGCTTAGCTTCCTTCCTTCAAGGCTCAACTCAGGTTCTGTCTCTTTTGAGATGGCTCCTCCCATGCTGCATATTAATCCTAATCCCCATGTGCCCCCAATACCATCTCTTGTTAAATGTTCTCTCTCTCATCAAAATATCTGTACATTTTGTATAAAATTACTGAAAATGGGGACTTTTTCATTTTGTTGTTATATTCCCACTGTCTAGCATGTCACTTTGCATATTAAAGGCAACTGATAATTACATGTTGAATGTCCTTTTCAGTTCATGGTGCTAGATGTATGTTAATGCTTGATTTTGAACAAGAGGACAATACTTATTGCCAATGGGAAAGAAATGACCTCTTTCTTGTAATATTGTAATATTACAGTACAAAACTTGTATTACTGTATTAAAATAATAAAAGAAATGTTAATATTTATTAGTAATTCAGTAAGTTTTATGACCTTAAATCAGTATGATTTGATAGGAATTATCAGTCTATTATTGATAAGATGCTGGCTTTGTTTTTAGTTGATTTGTGCAATATTATTATGAGAGAAAGACTCCTAGGCTGAAGATCACATGATTCCTGCTGCACAGAATGCTGTCACCAATTTTTGCATTGTCGTACCAAAGGGTAGGGTAATTTACCTAACAAAATAATAGAAATACATAACAAACTAAGAGAGATTTTAGGGGTTGGGAGAAGCCATGTATACTTTTAGCAAAAAAACCTCCATGTTCTAAAGCCTTCTACTTAAGAAATTATGATCTTATATGAAATACTATTTCAAAGACTTGGAATTTCCTTCCAGTATAGCATTTTGTTAGTCTTACATCCACCAAACTAAATTTCTTTCATCTTCTACAGGCTCTGCTCGAGGTAGTTAATGACCTCTTTGAAGAACAAACTGACCTGGAGAAAATTGTTAAGAAAATCATGCACCGGGCCCAGACGCTGTTAAAATGTGAGCGTTGTTCAGTCTTGCTCCTAGAGGACATTGAATCACCAGTAAGTGCCTTCGAGATTCCATATATATTTGAGCAGGTATATTAATGGGATAAAACTTTGGCTATTTGCAGTTGTACTCATGTACCCGAGCCTTGAATCATTCTCTTCATAATGATACTATATTTGAGAAAATGTAGAGTCTTACCACTGAACAGACCATAATGCACAAACTAGTCAGGGAACTTTGCTCACAAAGTGAATTTTTCCCCTTGTAAACCTTTAGCTTAGTCAAAATTATGTCATCTTCTTGTGGGTTTAAAATGCTTACCCCCTGAGGTATCTACTTGGGGAACTGGTATTTTCCTCAAACTCTGGGATTGTGGTCCCAGAAGATGACTAGATAGGGGTACTTCGGTAAGGGTGAAGGGAGGGGGAGGGGGAAAAGAAGAGGATATCTGAATTATCATTATATGAGTTCAACTTTCCTTGAAGGGATGAATGGGAGTGCCAAGTACTACCCTCAATACTGCATATTAATGAAGAAACTCTGTTTCAGTTATGTCTGAATGGGGTAACTCTTTGCAAGGGCTTCTAACCCTACTGCTACCCGTAAGAGCAAAAGCTCACTATTTTTCTATTCCTTCTATTTATCTCACAGTCCTGTGGACCTGTCTAAATAATTCTAATCACTTCTCTTTATGCCCTTTTGGCTCACTTATGCATTACTTCTCTTTCTTTGCTTAACCAAGTAAAGCAAATCTATACATTTTAATCTCCTAAGGCAATGTGTCTACTGGGGTCTCCTTTCATGGATGCTGTCATTGTTGCTTGCTTAAAAAAAATTTAAGACTGGATCTTTCCTTCTTGGCCAGGTGTGGCCTACTCAAGGCAAGATATCATCCGCAACTGATCCCAGATATCCTGTAACTGATCAGCAAGGAAGTTTTGACCTGCACCAATTCAGACCTGGGCTTCTCTACCCCTCATTAGGCAATATGGTAGCACCTCTGCTCCCGGGAGCTCACCATGTTGATGCCAATGTGTAGACCCCAATGAACACAACCCATTGCAGCTCAGATATCAAAAGCTCAAGCTATCTGCAACCTTCACCCTTCGTGATAAATGGCATTAAAGGAGAGTGCTACCCCCTCTATTGTTGCTTGCTTTTTGTCTTGCCCAAGACTCAATGGTTATTTTTGTGTGGACAAATATGACAGCTACATAATGATGCCTACACCTGTAGGGAGGGAGGGGGAGAAATCTACAGATTTAATCACTTGATCATGTGGCTTCTTTAGCTACCTTGTCATTTCACTAGTGACTGAGGAGTCTATGGGCAGTCAGGCAAAATACACAAGTGACAGGCAAAAGGTCTTTTTCCCTTGGTTCATCAGGAGGTGATGTCTCCACCAAGGAGAGAATTAAACCCATTGCTTTGAGGCATCTGTGCCTACCTTACTTGGGTATTATGAGGATCACTTTCAAATTTTATCAAAGGCCTTTGACTCCTGGATAAAAAGAGCTCTATAAATGCAAAACAATAATAAATTTAATGATTATCATCAATCTAACAGCAGAGAAGTTAAATTGTCTAAGCTGTTGGTAGCAATTTAATATCCTTGCTGAGAACTCTCTTCAAAGAGCTAGCTAGAATAGTTTAGCAATTAAGAACCCCTCCAATGTCCCATAGAGATCTATATTTGACTGCACTTTGTTTAGAAAAGATAATTGCTTTTGGACTTCAGAATTATTTTCCTCAGAGCACAGCAACACTATAGGAAAGTTTTGAGATTTCACTGAAGCTCAAGAACTGAAGTTCACAAAGATTTTATAAAAACAATATATTAGACATATATGTTCAAAGCTGCCTCCCCCTATGAGAAACTTGCCCTTCTGTCTAATCTATAATAAATAGCCCTGGATAACAATGACTCAGAGAATTTTATTGAGAGCCTAACATTTAAAAAGTGAAGTTTTTGCTAAAAAAAAAATGCAGATACAAAATGTTCAATGGTCTTGGCTTTCCAGCACAAAAAGGAAAACAACCAATTTTTTAAAAGCTAGCTGTGGATCTACTTACAGATAAAATTGTATTGATTACATCAAACCCCAGAATATCACAGAGCTTCCTGAATGAAATTCATAATCATCAAAAGAGTTTGGCTTACCTGTCTGCATTGGAAAGACCAAATGGAGAAAGACTCCTCAAACTACAATATAGAGTTGAACAGACAGACTTCATCCATCAGTATAAGTATCTTGAATAGACGTTACAGAAAAAAAGAAATTGGGTCCACAACTGAATAGGGGGAACAGAGCAGACTGGATTGCTTTTGGGAAATTTCAGAGTTCTTTTAAGGATCCCAAGTTTCTCCCTGAAACAAAGGCCCATATTTTTAAATACCAACATTATTCTTATAATTCAGTGTGGTTAGGAGTCATGGAACTTTGTAGTTCCCAAGGAACTGAGAATCACCTAAAAGATGTTGTAGAGGCATTTGTTTGTTCAGTTGTTTCACTCATGCCAGATTCTTCCTGACCCCATTTGGGGTTTTCTTAGAGATGATACTGGAGTAGTTTGCCATTTCCTTCTCCAGGTAATTTTCCGGATGAGGAAACTGAGGCAAACAGGCTTAAGTTAGTAAGTATCTGAGGTCAGATTTGAACTCACGTCCTCCTGACTCCAGGCCTGGCACTCTATCCACTGCACCACCTAACTGCTTGATGGAGAGTGAAATGCTGGCTTTGAGCATGTTAGAAAACATTACACATGAAGAATTACGGAGGAATAGTAGTGTAAAGAATGACATCATGGAAATGAATGAACTGGTCAGAAGGGGAGAATGAGAGTTTGCAGATGAACAACACATGCATTTCCCTGATATTCTTGATATGGTCAGAAAGAGTTGAAGAAGTTTGCCAGCATGTTGAGTGGACCCCCAGTGATGAACCCATTCGGGGACATGGGCAAATTACCAAGAGATCACAAATCCATTTGTGTATTTGAGTCGTGGAAACTTCAATTCATTGAGATGTTAATTTAAGACTCCTTGTTACAGGCAAAATCTTCCCTCTTAAGATATAGACATTTAAGGGAAAATTGACCAGTCAGTCAATAATCAGTTTATTGCCTCTGTCATCCGTATTCTTTCACTTATCTTCAATTTCTTACTGTCTACTAGGAAAAGCAAAATTGCCTCTTGAGATGGAGAGACATTTAGATGTACATTAGCTAGTCAGGGAATAAGCAGCATATTGCCTTTGTCATCTCTACTCTCTTACTTATTTTCAACCTTTTCCTGCCTACTTGTTTCTTCCCTATAAACATTCCCATGTCTCCTTCAACCTCAAAAACCCTCACTTGATCCTTCAATCCCCACTAGCAATCCCTATATCTCTCCTTTTTTTTTTGTGGCTAAATGCCCTGAGAAGTCATTTACAATTAGTGCCTTCATTTCCTTTCTTCTCTCTCTCTCCTTAACTCTCTACAGTCTGGCTTCTGACCACATCATTCAACTGAAACTACTCACTTCAAAGTTACCAATGATCTTTAAATTACCAAGTCCAATAGCTTTTTCTCAGTCCTGATCTTTCTTGACTCCTCTGCAGTCTTTGACACTATCATCCTTTTCTCCTGGAAACTCTCTGTCCTCTAGGTTTTCATGCCATTACTTGTTCTCCTCCAACCTGTCCAACTTCTTCTTCTGTCTTCTTTGCTGGATCTTCCTTTAAGTCAGGCTTATTAGCCATGAGTATCCCCAAAGTTCTGTCCTGGGTCCTCTTTTCTTGTCCCTCTATACTCTTTCACTTGGTGATCTCATCAGATCCCATATATTGAATTATTATCTTAATACTGATGACTCACATAACTATTTATTCAGCCTTAACCTCTTCCCTGACCTCTAGTCTTGTATCTCCAACTACCTATTAGACATTTCAAATTGGATGTCTCAAGGACATCTTAAACCCAACATGTCCAAAACTGAAAGCAGCATTTCTCTTCCCCCTACTCAGATCTTCCCTCCAATGTACTTCCCAGTTACTATTGAGGGTACTGCCATCCCCCCAGTCACCTAGGCTCACAACCTCAGTGTAATCCAAATCTTCACTCTTTCTTGCCTCTCCACATCCAATCTTCCCAAATCTTGTCAATTCTACCTTCATAAAATCTCATATACACACTCCCTTCTTCATCTCTGACACTGCCACCACTCAAATCTAGACCATCATCGTCTCATGCCTCGACTATTATAACAGCCTTCTGGTCGATCTCCCTGCCTCAAGTCTCTCCCCATTCCAATCTGTTCTTCACTTAGCTGTCAAAAGTGGCCTTACTAAAGTGAAGGTCTGACTATATCACACAACTCCCTTCTCCCTCATTCAATAAACTTCAGTGGCTCTCTATCACCTCCAGAATCAAATAAAGAATCCTCTGGCATTCAAAGTACAGCATAACCTGGCCCCTGCTGCCTTTCCAGTCCTCTTATCCTTTACTTTCTACCTTCCCCTTCATAATCTGTGGTCCAGTAACATTGCCCTCCTGTCTGTCTCTCGCACAAGACACTCCCTGTCCTGACCGTGCATTTTCCCTGGTTGTCCCCGTTCCTGGAATTTTCTCCCTTTCCATTTTCATCTCCTGACTTTCTCTGGCTTCCTTCAAAATGCAGCTAAAATCATACCTTTTATCTTTATCTTTCCCAATCCCCTTAATACTAGTGCCTTTTCTCTGTTGATTATTTACAATTTATCTTGTGTATATGTTGTTTGTACATAACTGTTTTCATGATGTCTCTTCAATAGACTTTGAACTTCTTGACAGTAGAAGTTGTTTTCTCCATTTCTTCGTATCCCCAGCAGGTAGCACAATGCTTGGTACATAGTAGGCACTTAATAAATGTTTATTGACTGACTAATTTATCCAGCATCACACAACCAGTAGGTGTCAGTGACAAGAGCCCAGGCTCATCTAACCCTGACATCAGTTTTCTGCCTAGCAGCCATAAATACAAATGGGAAATGCTGATCATCTCCTTCATTCTCTTGTCCAAAGCAAGAATTAT